CAAAAGAAAGTATAATATTTTGATATAAAAATCTAAATGGTGAATCCCTAGCTAAATACAATAGTACCTTAGATTTTGATTACATCTCTGTCAATGGACTAAAATTTCTCTCTATGCGAGGTGGTGATGGTCTGTCTGTTTACTGAGGAGCATTAAATCTATGCATCATCTCAAAGGGACACTTTCAGTCTCCAGTATCCATGGTTTTACAAAGGGGGGTGCACACCTAGGGTAATGTCAAGACAAAGTGAAACTAAATGATCAAAAATGCATTCTTTAATCTTTATGGGGATGCATATGCCCGCGGTGCAGCATTTTATTTCATGAAGAGGTATTTTTCTAAAGTAATCTGATAGTTAGGGTGGAAGTTATGATTGATGTTGGTAGCAGACCGATTGGTAAACAAGTTCAGGCTACTTAGATGATCTAAAAAGGTGGCCCAGTGTCATCCCGGAGAAGGAATATGTATTTATACAGTAGCATTGTTCAGTTTGCCCTGAAATCAAAGGATTGACGGTTCAAGCCCCGGCTCCGACTTTCAGTGTGATTGTGTCTTTGGGCAAGACACTTCACCTGCATTGTTTACTGATGGTGGTCAGAGGGCCCGGTGGCACCACTGTACGGCAGCCTAGCTTCTGTCAGTGAGCCCCAGGGCAGCTGTGGCTACAATGTAGCTTGTCACCATCAGTGTGTGAGTGTGTGCGTGAATGGGTGAATGAATGTAGTGTAAAGTGCTTTGGTCAAGTCTCCTGACTTGAAAAAGCGCTATATATGTACAGGCCATTTACCATTTACTATTTTCACCCCTTGATTCTTACTTTTTTCATCGTTTATTTTATGGGAAATACAACTGGATATTATTTTTCTGTGGAGTCTTACGGATAAAATTTGTGTTTTTATCATGATCGCTCAACACCTGGCCAGCAGAAGAGATAAACAAGGTAAGAGATGGAAGTTATAAATCATAAATTGATGATAGACAAAAATCAGCCTCAGGACGAGATTCTAATATCTCTGCAGTGGGAATATAAATCTGATACGGTTCTGCTGCTCCTCCAAAATGTTATTAACATCCAGAACAGCAAAGTGATGGAGAGTTATTGTCACTGGATGATTTAATTATTAAATATAATGCCAAATTCTTATCCCACCAATCCAATTACAAATTATGAATTTTATCCCCACAAAATTTATCAATTTCAGTTTCTAAACTTAAAAATATATTTTTGAAGGAATCAATATAATAGATGAAAAATGCAAAATCTTTTCTTTTTAAGAAAAGTGTCAACAAACATCTTATATTCTAATCCAATTAAAATACTTTTCCTATTTAAAGAATACTCCAAAAATGATATCCGTGCATTGAGAACGAAGCATCTTAAATTTGCAATTCCGCCTTAATATAAAGAAATTCATTTCAAAACACTGAATGACATTTATCCTTCTAAACAATTCATATGCTATTCATTTATATGCTATATGAATGAACTGAAATTATTATTTTTTTATTCTAGTAAAACCTGTTTTGATAAATTCTTGCTGATGTTGCCGGAAGTACGCCGCTCTGAAGACACACGCCTTTCAGCGTAGTGTTGTCGAAATTTTTTTATCTCTCTTCTATTAAATATTAATTTATCCTATTTACTCACTATACAAGTTTTCACTCAGTCTGTTTCTCTCTCAAGGCCACACGATTCTCTGCAGGATGGTGTTTGTAGACCAGACATAGCTTCATCCCATAACAAACTTTTAGAAATATTTTATTTATACTCCGTTTGTGTTTCATGGGTTGTGTTCTAATGAACTATTATGATGTATTTCCCCAGCGGAAATACATCATAATAGTTTTATTAACTCTTGCTTAAGATCGTTCCAGATAAAGGTCATGCAACGGATGGGTTGTGAAAGAGGCCTGAACAGCGTCTATCACGTTACTTCTAAACATGTGTTCCTGGAACAATTCAATTGTAAAACAACCACATGCTTTGTTTTAACATATGTGCTGAGGTTTAAAGTAAGATCCTTTTTGTCATGTTGGGTTCTAGGCATCTAACCCACATGCAGAAACACTCGTGAAACAGAGAAAAAGTTCAAAGGTTTATTTACAAGTTTACAGTAAATGTGAACAGGTTCTTGGCTCGGCAGACAGGTCAAGGGAGGAACACCACTGAGGAGGACAGAGGAGTTAGGGTTGATCCAGGTAAACTGCTGTTTTACAGATGATTGGGTAAATACCTACTCAAAGGTGGAGCGGAGCTGCAGGGGGGGAACCTTGAGGGTCCAGAGGCTAGTCGGCAGGCAGAGGGCTGAGGGCAAAGGCAGAGGCTTAACTGAGTGCAGGCAGGCAGATTCCAGACAGAGATAATTCTCCAGGATTTCAGGTTTTCAGACAGGACTCGATCTGTGAGGCAGAGAGAAACAGGGTCAGGCAGGTTCACAAAAATCAGAGATTCAGATCAGGTTGGTTGGCTCAGGTCTCGCTCTACCATTACTGGCAAACACTCTGGAAGGGAAGTGTCAGCCTCCTCCTCCTTAAATAGGGCTTCCTTGATGAGCAGATGGAAGACAGGTGTTGCAGTCAGCTCATGCCCTCAGAAGATCTTGTGCGCCCTCTGGTGGAGAAGGTGGACAAAGCCTCTGTTAGGATCCTCAGGCTTGCCCTCCAGAGGACGCCGAGGATCCTCTCCTGCTCTGTGTTTTTCCCTTAGGGTTGGAGTTACTGTAGGGATCTGGAGATTACAGGCTAAGCCTGAAGCTAAATGCTTAGCTTCACATGAACTCAGCTACCAGCCATCTCCCGTTCCCCTTACAGACCCCAGTGAACCAGTCCCCTGCCAGAACTGTTCCAGTTATTATCCATGTGCTTGTGTCATTAAATAAACTCTTTGGACTTTTACCAGTGTCTCCGTGAGTGTTCTGCATCTTGGGCTTAACACTAAGAAAACCCATCATGACAGAACACTTCGGCCAAACACAAAGCCCAGCAGATCACCTCCGCCGATGGACTGAGAAACGGGACGCTCAGATACATGAACACACACAAACCCTCCGTGAGTTACTGCTTAATCAAACATTCTCCAATCACTTCTACAACGCTAACGCCACGTCAGCGGCTCGACCTGTCCCGAATCCGCTTCCGTTTCCGAGGTCACCGGCTGTGACGTCACCTCCGAGTCAAGATAGTAATCCTCTTTTCTGGTCAGAACTCAGCCTGTCGTTTTCTTCACCCGGTCCTTCTCTGCCTGAAAGATTTTCTGGCAATCCTGGTAAGCTCAAAGGATTTATATTTCAGTGCCGGTTATTTTTTGGTTTTTACGATTCCAGTTTTCTTAATAATAAGGATAGGATAGCCTTTGTTGTTTCTTTTTTGTCTGGTGAAGCCCTTGAATGGGCTGAGACCAAATTTCCACCTAAGACTAGAGAAAACTGTACATTTGAAAGATTCATCCAAGAGTTAGAAAGAACCTTTAGTCAGATTTCTAAGTTCTCCGTGTCTGGCAACCTTCTTAAAATTAAACAGGGTAATAGGTCCGTCGCCAAGTTTTCCTCCGAGTTTCAGAGTAGAGCAGCTGTTTCCGGGTGGAACGAATCTGCGCTCAAATCCGCTTATCTCATAGCTCTAAATGAATCAATCAGAGACTAGCTTTCATTTTACGCCGAGCCAGCTAACCTCGAGGACCTCATAGAACTTGCCATTGGGCTAGACATAGCGTCACAAACCAGTTCCAGTTCCTCTCCACGCCGGTTTAGGTTCTGTTCTCATATTCAAGACCTTCATTTAGTTCCATCCGTTAAAGGACTCAAAATTGACCCATCTATTTCACTTCAAACAGTTAGAGTTCCCCGCCAGCCTGATCAGACACCTGCACCCATCACCGTTATAACTAGACCTGTTTTCTCACCTGATAATCTAGCTCCCCACATCCATGAGACAGATCTATGGAACTTTTTCTATGGTGATAGAGAGGATATCTTCCCGTTCGAGCCACCACATTCAGTTCCTCGCCAGCCAGATCCAGATCCTGAACCAGTTAGTTTTAAACCTGACCCTATGCTGGATTTTCTAGCCTCAGATCCTGTTATTCCTTCTGGAATTCTTGTCTCACAACCGGTTAATTTATTGTCTGATTCAATTAGTAAACCAGTTAGCCTAGCTCCCAAGACCCCTCGGCGTAAGAAACGGCGTCGCTTTAAGTCAGCTCTGAGCCGTCTAGAGACCCCTGGGTCAGCTCTGTGTCATCCAGAGACCCCTGAGCCTGCTCTGTGCCGCCCAGAGACCCCTGAGCCTGCCCTGTGCCGACTAGAGACCCCTGAGCTAAAAATTAGGAGGACTTCAGAATTTGGAGTTGATGGAGATAGGCCTCCTAGAGCCTCTCTACAGGGGCCACAAACCGCCAAGAGTCCTCTACAGACGTTTCAACCCACTTCTGAGACTGAACATGAGCCTCTATGGGTGGTTTCCCTTGTTCCCGAGACAGAGCCACGGTCGGTGAACTCTTCAGTTCCAGAGGTGGAACCACAGTCAGTGGTGTCACCTGTTCCTGAGGTGGAGCCACAGTCGGTGGCCTCCCCTGTTCCTGAGGCGGATCCACGGTCGGTGGGTTCGCATGTTCCTGAGTTGGAGCCACTGTCGGTGGTCTCCCCTGTTCCTGATTGGGAGCCGCAATCGGCGGGCTCCCCTGTTCCTGATCGGGAGCCGCAATCGGCGGGCTCCCCTGTTCCTGATCGGGAGCCGCAATCGGCGGGCTCCTCTGTTCCTGATCGGGAGCCGCAATCGGCGGGCTCCCCTGTTCCTGATCGGGAGCCGCAATCGGCGGGCTCCCCTGTTCCTGACCGGGAGCCGCAATCGGCGGGCTCCCCTGTTCCTGACCTGGAGCCGCATTCGGCGGGCTACCCTGTTCCTGACCGAGAGCCGCAATCGGCGGGCTCCCCTGCTCCAAAGCCGCAATCGGCGGGCTCCCCTGCTCCAGAGCTGCAATCGGCGGGCTCCCCTGCTCCAGAGCCGCAATCGGCGGGCTCTCCAGTTCCAGACCCGGAACCGCAATCGGCGGGCTTCCTTGACCCAGAGCCGCAATCGGCGGGCTCTCCAGTTCCAGACCCGGAACCGCAATCGGCGGGCTTCCTTGACCCAGAGCCGCAATCGGCGGGCTCTCCTGTTCCAGACCCTGTTTCAGAGCTGCAGTCGGCGGTCTCCTCAGAGCCTCCTCCAGAGCCGCAATCGGCGGGCTCCCCTGTTCCAGTCCGTGAGCTGCTGTCGACGGTCACCTCAGAGTCTGTTCCTGAACCGCCGAAGAGGGGACGGGGTACCCCGTGGGGGTACCTACTGAAGGTTTGGCGTCATCCTCCTGAGAAGCTGCTTCGCCTTCGGCCCCGCGGCAGACCCCCGGAGCGTCATCTTCACCGCCGACCCCGTGGCAGACCCCCTGAGTGTCAGCTTCGCCTCCGACACCGCAGCCGGCCACCTAAGACTCTGCTCCGTTACCGGATCCTCGGCCGGCCTCCAGGACCTCTGCCTTGCCTCCGGCCCGACGGTGGTTCCCCTAAGACGCTGCTTCGTCCCCAGCCCCGTGGTCGGCCTCCTGAGCATCTGTCTCGCCTCCGGCCCAGCGGTAGGCCCCCTGAGAATTTTTTCGTCCACCATAAGTGGATTGTTTTTTTTTCTGGACTCTGGTTTTGTTTTCTGCCCCCCTGGCCTGTTTCCCCCTTCGCCCACCCTGGGTGGGTTGTTTTTTGTTTGTTGGACCTTTTTTTCTGATGGTTCTGGCCCTCCTCGCCCTAGTGCCCCCTCCGCCCGCCCTGGGTGGGTTGTTTTTTTTGTTTTCTGGACTTTGTTTTTTTTTTTTGTTCCTTTCCCTCCTTGCCTTAGTGCCCCCTCCGCCCACCCTGGGTGGGTTGTTTTTTTTTTGTTTTGTTTTTGTTGGACTTTTTCTGGGGGCGTCTGGAATCCGCCGTTGAGGGGGGGTACTGTTAGGATCCTCAGGCTTGCCCTCCAGAGGGCGCCGAGGATCCTCTCCTGCTCTGTGTTTTTCCCTTAGGGTTGGAGTTACTGTAGGGATCTGGAGATTACCCTCTGTCTCCAGCAGAGTGCGCCGTGGGACTTCTGGAGCTGGAACCTTCCTGCACACCTGTTCCTAATCCTCTCATCAGAAGACCTCTCCTTTATAAGCTCCTGCCTGACCTTGATTCCACGCCGCAGTGTTGATCTTAGTTGGTTAGCGTCCTGAGCCTCTGTGACAGAAGAATCTTGGTTATCTCTAGAGTGAGATCAGATTCTAACTCTTCCTTGTTTCTGCCTCACAGGAATCCTGTCTCGTCGTGAAGCTCTGGATGAGCTTAACCTCTTGTCTCCTCGTGAAGCTCTGGATGAGCTTAACCTCCTGTCTCCTCGTGAAGCTCTGGATGAGCTTAACCTCCTGTCTCCTCGTGAAGCTCTGGAAGAGCAGTCTCTCTGGCAACCTGTCTCTGGCCTGCAGCTCTGGGAGAGCTGCATCACAGGAAACCAGTCTCAAGCCAGAAGCTCTAGGAGAATCTAACCAGCTAATCTGCCCTGGTGAGCCAACCCGAAGATTCCTACGTGGATGAAGCCTGAAGACTTCTGTGTAGAGTTTCCCTAGAGGTTCCCACGTGGATTTTCCCTTGTTGTTCCCTGCTAAGAGCTGGAAGCTCAGCCTGAGAAATCCTTCGTGTTTTCCCCTGATGTTCTCTGCTGTGAGCTGGAAGCTCAAACCCAGGACTGCAAGGCTAAGCCTGAAGCTAAATGCTTAGCTTCACATGAACTCAGCTACCAGCCATCTCCCGTTCCCCGTACAGACCCCAGTGAACCAGTCCCCTGCCAGAACTGTTCCAGTTATTATCCATGTGCTTGTGTCATTAAATAAACTCTTTGGAATTTTAACCGGTGTCTCCGTGAGTGTTCTGCATCTTGGGCTTAACACTAAGAAAACCCATCATGACAGCCTCCAGATCCCAACACTTTTGTTTCCCTTCCCTTTAGTTAAACCTCAGCTGGTGTAATTAGGGACATCCCCTTTTCCTCAATAAATAGCAAGGAGAAAGCTGAAGACTGCAGAGTGGGGTGAAGATTGTAAACTCTGCAGTCTCTGTGCCTTCTTTCTTTCCCTGTATGTATGTATGATGTTTTAGGTGCTTAGACCTGACACAAACTAGATTCTTTCTCAAGGTTTATTCATAACATGTTACTGTTTAACCAAAGTGTAATTTGTTTTGACTTTGGCTACTTTTCCATTGTTGTAAGTAAGGGGGGTGGGGGGTGGGGGTGGGGGACGAACCCTGCTTTAGCAGAACAGAGCAGAATGCTGTGCCATAAGGGCTTCATGATGACTGTTGTCTCTTTGCAAAGATATGAAAAAATGTGCCGACAATGAAATTCAACGATCTCCGTTTATTTAACTAGGATGAATAGTTGAATACTTTTTTCCCATGACAATCTGCCGTTGTCAAAGCAGGATTCTTCTTGGCTGATTTTTTCTGAGGACAGCGATTGTCAGAAGTGTCAGGTACCACCTGGAGGAAGCAGTCTTCCAGCCTCAATCCCCCATTAGAAGGTTAAGGGATCAAAACTAATCATTATTTGAGACGGTGAGATTAATCTTTTGTTGGCACAGTATAAATTAAATATCAAAAACTAAATTATAAAACAACAGGTTTTGCCAGTGAGGTCGGTGCTGGAGCTGTTCTCCTTCAAGATGATGGCCAAGGAGTAACACATTCTGTTTGCTTCTTCTGTAAGAAGTTTAATTCCTATCAAAGATGGTACTCAACAATTGAAAAGGAGACACTGGCAATGCTTCTGGCTCTGCAGCACTTTGATGTGTACGTTGGATCCACTTCAAAACCTGTGGAGGTCTTTACTGACCACAACCCTCTTGTGTTCCTTGCACGTATGTATAAAAGCAATCAACGTCTCATGAGGTGGGCTCTAATTTCTCAAAACTATAATATTGACATCAAGCACAAAAAAGGATGTGACAATGTGGTGGCAGATACACTCTCAAGGGTGTGATTGTCTGCAATGTTAAACCTCAATGTTTGTTCTTATGGGTGGGGGTGTTACATCCCCAAGTTGGATATCTTTGTTTTTGCATCCAATTAACACCTTGCTCTGTTTTAAGACTGGCTGCTACTTCCTGAGTCTGTCCAATCAAGATCACCTGAAGAATATTTAAGGCCTGTGAAGCATTACTTCAGGGCCTCTGAGCCATTTGTCTGCCATACACCTCTGTGATCCTTGTAGAAGCTAATGGGAAGTAGACCTGTTTGGATGTTTTTTGTAGGGGAGAGCTGCCTATTTGTTTAACCCGTTTTCTCCTGTTTATATGGTGGTTGGGTAGGTTATTTTGTAGGTTTGTATATTTTGGTTTCATATTGAGTTAGGCAAGTCCACTCTTTTCTTTGGGGTTGTTTTGTATGTTATTTTGGCCTTGGCTCTCCCTGAAGATTTTACAATAATTTATTCACAAGAAATGGCAGAATAAAACCTTTAAATGCCCTTTTGACTGCTTCAATCACTGTCTACATTTATGTTGGTCCCTTACATCCCCCTAGACTCAGCCAGGGGACGTAATACTCATCATAGTTCATTCCAGGGTCGTTATTCATTTTCACCATAAACTAAATCAAACTTCACTGTTTGACTGCAGTTAATGTCTATTTTTAGGGTTTATTTACATTTTATCTGCTGCTATTATAAAGGATACTTTCAAATGCATTAAGCCTTAAACTTCTGTTGTGCCATATGCCATGATCATACTTTTTGGACATTGGGAAGCAGTGTCCATATTTCATCTGAGGAGGGACCTGAGGAGGAAACGCAGATTTGGTGAATAACAGCTGGAGGACTTCTGCAGCCCCCCTTTTTCAGGCAAAGCAGTCACATGGAAGTCACAGAGGTGAGACCAATAGTGATCAATAGTGGTTGTGGAGAGCTGGAGAGGCACACCCCTCAGAGCACTTAGTCCAGCGCCGGGAGACCCAAAGCCCCAGGCGCCCAAAGGGACCCCAAGAGCGAAGGCACCAAGGAGGGGCCAGCCCCGGAAATAAGACCCCCACCAAGGGAGGAGGAGAGACAGCCCCGAAGAAGCCCCCCAGCCCCGCCATGCCGGTGCCCCAGGGAGCCGTGGGGACGAGTCCGCGGGCTCTGCCGGCAGCCGGCCACCCTGAAGTAGGGACAGGCACCGAACACCGGCCCCCCCACGGCACCGACCGAAATGCCCCAGCCCCACAGAGCACCGAAACACGCCCAGCCCCCCGGCACCAAGCCACGGCAACCGGCAGCAACACCCACCGCGACCGCACCACCCAGGAAAAACACACAGGCGGCCCCGCCTGCAGCCAGGGCCCATACGCATCCGCCGCGAACCGGAGGCGAGCGCCACGGGACCCCCCCAAAATGCCCCCCAGGCCAAAAGCGCGGCCCCACCCCACCAAGACCAATGCCAACAGCGCGCAATGCAACGCACTGCGCACAGAATCAACCCAAGACCAGAAAAGCCGCCCGGTGCCCGACCGAAAGAAGAGCAGACCGCAGCCGGTGCAACCACCCCCCCCAAAAGCCCGAGGGGCAGCACAAAGCCAGAGCGGAACGAACCACGCCGCTCCCCCACCAGATGAAGCCAGAGCAGCACAGCCACGTCTGCCCCCCTCGCCGCCCGCACCAGGCCCCGACACGCGGCCGGAGTAGCTCCGCTGCCCCGGCCCCCCGATGCACGCCAGCCAGGGCCACCCCAACCCCCACCCGCCTCACAGCCACACCCAACGCGATCAGCGGGAACAAAGCAGCTCCACCATGCCTCCAAGAGGGAAAACCCACCCGAATACCCAATCAGCGCAGCCAGCCCATCCGCACCGGCCCCCCAACACCACCCCCGTCGGAGCCGCCCGGACCCCCACACACCAGCAGGACCCCCACCCAACAGGCCTGCCCGCCCCCCGAGAAAACAGACATGCCAATCCCCCCAAACAAAAAAAAAATAAAATAAAATAAAATAAAAACACGGCAAGCAGAAAAAAGCCCCCAAAATGCGACAGTGGACACGAGACACCGACCCGCCTGCAACCGCTCCCCCCACCAGAGGAAAAAAAAAGTAATAAATAAATTAATAAATTAATTAATAATTAAAATTAAAATAAATAAAAATTCCGCTATGCAAGAGGATAAATGCAAGCTGAAAAACCGGAGCCCAAAACAAGACCCAAGACCTGCACCTCACCATGCCGTGCAGCTCCCCTCCCCCCCGAACCGATACCACAGAACAGTGTCTAAAATGCAAAATAAAATTGGGGTGGGGGACGTCATCAGAAGGTGTGGCCCTCCAGTAATGAAAACCTACATGTGTGGCAGAGTGATGGAGCAGGCAGGATTTCAGGGATGGGGAGCAAAGGACTGGGGTGCTTGCTGCACTCCCAGGGAGCCAGCTCCCCCGCTGACTCCAATATGAACCCTCGTTCCCCGAAAGCCCCTCCAGAGAGGGGGGGGGCACCAGTTTCCCCACCGTAGCCCGGGGGCATGGGACCGGCAGCAGGACCCACCAGCCAGCCGGTCATAGAGCCGACACCACCACCCTCCCCCCATCCTGTCCATCCAAAAATAAATAAATAAATAAAAAAATGAATTAAGTAAATAATAATAAAAATAAATAAATAAATGAATGAATAAAGAAAAGAATGATAATAACAATAATTAAAAAATAAATAATAATGATAATAAATAAATAAATAAGGGGGGGGCAACCCCAGCCGGCCAGCCAAAGTGCAACACGCAGAGCCCCCACCCCAGATGAAGCCCCACTAGGGGGCAGCACAGACCAGGACCGAGACAGGGAGCCAGACCCGAAGCCCTTCCAAGATCTTCTTCCCACTATCACCACCCCCCACCCCCCCTCCGGAGATCTAATCCCTCCCCTACAATAACAATCAAGCTACTCACCACACAAGCGACAGAAGACATCCAGGCCGAGATCATTCCTACTCCCCCTCCCTCCCCTTCCCCCACTTACAGAGTGCAAACCCGTGAAGGGGTAAGCATCTCCCATAGGTGTTAATGTCCATGCCCCCCCCAGCCCAACAGGCCCCAAGGCACCCCGGCACACCAGAGGCTGTGGCAGCAGGGGCAGACAGCCGGGCGTACACCGGCCCAGACCCCAAGCAGTACTCCCCACAGAACCCGAACCCCCGAAACCCCACCAGGGCCCCTGCCCAAGGGCAATGCGCCCCAGGGATCCCAGACCCCAGGACCCACCCCAGACCCACCCAGCAGTAGGGCCAGGCAATGCCCAAAAACCCCCGGCGCCGGCACCAGCACCCCCACCCCGACACCGGCCCCCGAACGACTCCCCCACGACACCTGTCCCACAACACCAATCCGAACAAGAAGAAAGCCACACAACACAGCAAAGCACATATCCCGAGCCCCACTCCAAGCTCCGATTGCCCCGCTCACACCCCCCCTCCCACACACACAAAAAAAATTAAATAAATTAAAAATTTCCCCCTCACTGAAGAAGAATGGCCGCAAACAAGCCAGTGTCCAACACCAACCGCCACACCGCGAGGACCCTTCCTACCAGACGCTCCTCCCCAGAAAAATAAACATGCCTGCCCTCCCAGGAGACAAACAAGCCGCCGAACAGGAACCCCTCCGACAGCGCACCGCCGGCACGCGGGGGCCCGAGCGGCCCCAACAGAAACAACACCGGAAGGCTGATATAGACGAACCGACGGCACCAACCAAGCCCCCAGGCGGATTCCCCTACCCAAAAACACAACGAAACCACTCCGCTCCCACTGACCACAGCAAACACAGCCGCAAGGCTCCCGCCGCGCCTGTCACGAAAGCAGCACTACCCACCCCGCTCCGGCCCACGGGCCGCCGAGAGGAGGACAGCTGCGCCGGCCGCGGCCCGCCCCCCCCCTGTAGCCAAACACCAAGCAACCCTCCACTCCCAAACCGTGCACGATGCACCGCACCGCGCGCCACCGGCACCCGCCCCAACAGAGCGAAGCCACACCCCAGACCCGGAGCATTCCAAAGGGACCCCCCGACGCGCACAACCAGCCCACAACAGACACACACGAACCCCGGCCACAGGCGCGACCACCCATATACCCCCCCCCGGACGACGCAACCACGGCAAGCGCCACGGCCAACCACCAAAACCCGGCACCGAAAGACGAGGCACGTCCCGAGGCCCTGCAGAGCAGAAGCTCCCCGGCCAGCACCACAAAAGAACCGATGCCCGGCGCCCAGCCCCGTCCAGCAGCAGCACAGCTACCAGGCCAGTAGCCCACGTCCGCCACCACGGGACCCCCCAAAAGCACTGCACGCGGCCGCCGCAGGACCCCCCCGAGGCGCTCCAGACTCCGCCCCGATGGGGGCAACAGTCCCCGGAGCCAGACCCGCCAGGCACCCCACCATGAGCACCCCCCCGAGCCCCCAGGACCCAAGGACCCCCGAACTAGCCTCCGCGCCCCATAAGACGCACCCCACAGCCCCCCACTACACTAAGTGATAGAGCCGATCAAGGGAGCCCAGAGAGATCAGTCTGATGGGGATGCAGATGCTGTCTCAAGATTAATATGATCCAACAACAGATCTCTGTACTGATTGATGTTGAGTTTATCCTTACTTTTCCAATTCATGAGTATAGTTTTTCTTTGCTATACATAATGCAGTGAAGGCCATGCAAACTGATTTTCTTCCCATAGAGCTACCCTCAAAGTCACCCAACAAGCATACTGGAGGGGAAATTGGGATTTTACAACCCAGGCACAGTGATAGATCCTTACATACCTGAACCCAGAATCTCTGAACCGGCGTGCATAACCATAATGCGTGAAAATAATTATCAAGTTGATTGCCTGTGCACTGTGGACAGATGTTAGATTGTGCAAAACCCATCTTGAATAATCTTTGACCTGTATAGTGCACTCTGTGGAGGATTTTGTATTGTATTAATTGTAAATTGGGGTTTCTAGTCATGTTAAACGTTCTTAGACATATCTGAGCCCAGATGTTTTGATCAAAGCTGACTGATAAATCCTCCTCCCATTTAGTAATAGGAAGAGATATTGTATCATCCAGTTTAGTCAGTGTCCTGTATAATTTAGACAGTAGTTTGGGGGGGTTAACTCTAGAAACTCTAATATATTAGTTGGAATTTCTAAACCTTCATCAATATGCTTACATTTGCTCATATTCTAAGAATTTATTTTTGTTAATGCCATATTGCAAATTTAATCTAGCAAATGTGATAAACTCCGTACCTTCAAACAAATGATCCAGATATGTAATACCTTTATTCTTCCAGTACGAAAAGTTTTTCACATTATTGTTTTGTAGAATGTCAGGGTTATTGCAGATGGGTGTACGACTGCACGGGATAAGTGATGACTTCGTTATTTTTAGAAATTCCCACTGCAACACATTTCTCTTGAGTTTCAGAACTTACAGAGCCAAACTGGATGAGAACAATTCCCTGGGTGTAAGACTGAAACTCAAGCTTTCCAAACGGACATGAAAAAAGGTTAGCAGGTCTGGCATGATTAGGGATAGAACAAGCAATGTGTCTTTTGATGATGCTAATCATATCGTGTGTTTACTGCTGAGTAAACACAACGCTAACTGATGCTAAAGAATGGACTGCATGCTACGCTATGCTACAGGAATCTGTGTTGAGCTGTTGCTAAAGCTTAGACAAGCTTTACCTACTAAGGATTTAAACACTGATATAACATTAGTGTTCATATGTTCCTCAAATGCTCATTACATTTCCATTACCAAGTATGACCAAGAGTCATTTAGTGGAATCCTGATGTCTGTTCGCTGCTAGCTATTTCAAGGAGGGTAAAGAATCATTTAGCCAAAGGTTATTGGTTCTTGATTAAGCAAATCATTCAATAAAACATTATTTGGCCAAATAATGTTTTATTTACAAAACCACAGAGCACACAGGATTCTCTCTCTTTTCTCCCTCTTCGGATCCAGCCTGCTTCTGCTCCTGTGCTCAAAGCTGGGGCCCACTGTGACCCACAGTGGAGATGCGGGCCCCAGGAGAACCAGATCTCCAGAACCATCACGGATAAGTCAGAACTTTTCAGCCCAAACTGCTGAAAACAGAACCTTTGCAACACATTTCTCTTGAATTTCAGAACTTACAGAGCCAAACTGGATGAGAACAATTCCCTGGGTGTAAGACTGAGGGGACCCCTGCTGTGAGACTGATACAAAGGAACCCCTGAGTAAAGACAACGCTAATTGATGCTAAAGAATGGACTGCATTCTACGCTATGCTACAGGAATATGTGTTGAGCTGTTGCTAAAGCTTAGACAAGCTTTATTCACTAAGGATTTAAACACTGATATAACATTAGTGTTCATATGTTCCTCAAATGCTCATTACATTTCAATTACCAAGTATGACCGAGAGTCATTTAGTGGAATCCTGATGTCTATTTGCTGCTAGCTATTTCAAGGAGGGTAAAGAATCATTTAGCTAAATTCAGCATTCAATAAAACATTATTTGGCCAAATAATGTTTTATTCACCTCATGGATTTGCATTGTGAATTGGTCTGAAAACATTCCAATTTCTTTAAAATTAGTGAAAAGCTAATTTGATCATATCCCAAATTCTTTCAGATGAACTTTGGTTTCAAACACAGAATCCATCCTAAACTGCAATATGGTTTTCAACCATGCTTCCTTTCCTCTTTGTACATAGTAGTTAGTTTAGTTTAGTTGAGTTTTTCTAGTCTTAGTTTTGAGTGTTAAACTGAAATATGTTTGACTTGGAGCTAAATGATTTTTGTTAATAAACTCTTATATTTTGAACAGAAGTTGTGTTGAATTTATTTAATGTATGTGCAGAAATAACTGTTTGACCATGATTAGTGCTCGAATCACTCTTTCATCCATTGTTCTAACACACAGTTAGTAGGATATGAGGGGCCGTTTAGGACAGAAACTATTTTTCCTCTCACGTACACCAATAAAACCATGCACACACCTCAGTAGACACACACACACTCTCAACAAAACTATGTTTTCCTCTCAAACACATTACTATGACATCCACACATCACAGTAGAAACACTCACACACTCTCAAAAAAACTGTTTTCCTCTCAAACACACTACTATGACATGCACACATCACAGTAGAAACAGTCACACACAATCACAAAACTAAAATTGAATATATGTCTTATGTGTGTGTGCACTAATACTAGATTGTATGAGAGGGCATAAGTGTGTGTGTGTGTGTGTGTGAACTAATACTAGACTAAATGAGAGGATATACATATGTTTGTGTGTGTGTGTGTGAACTAATACTAGACTGAATAAGAGGCTTTATGTGTGTGTGTGTGTGTGTGCGTGCGTGCATGTGAACTAATACTAGACTGAATAAGAGGCTATACATATGTGTGTGTGTGTGTGTGTTAGAACTAATACTAGACTGAATAAGAGGCTATACGTGTGTGTGTGTGTGGGTGTGAACTAATACTAGACTGAATGAGAGGCTATACATATGTGTGTGTGTGCGTGTGTGTGTGTTAGAACTAATACTAGACTGAATAAGAGGCTATACGTGTGTGTGTGAACTAATACTAGACTGAATGAGAGGCTATACATATGTATTTGTGTGTGTATGCGCGCGCACGTGTGTGTGTGTGTGTATGTGACTGATATCGTAGCAGACTGAATGAGAGGCTTGTACTTGTGTGTGAGAGAGTTCAACCTGTCACGGAAGAGGCGGGGCAAATTGGCTAGCGCATGCGTGGAACCCAAACTGAGCAATATTATTTAAAACGGGGTGGGCAATAGGGGGCAGCACACAAGCCAGTTACCTGCTGAGCCAACAATAATGAGCTTCCGAGAAGAAGACGTAGCATGGCTAACGGCAGTGTAAGTAAGGAAAAAATCAGTCAAGCAGCCGCAATTTTAAATGGCCTGTTATCAACACCGGATGCAACAAGCAGTGTGGCCAGGGCTTTAAGTGAAAGAGCTCCTCAGGTGGCCCATACTGATTCTGTTGAAACAGAACTATCATCTTTGTTTCGTACTGGAGCAGGTGGCCGAAGTTCGGCGGTGTCAACAGGAAATCAAGGTATAGTAATATTGTGCTTTTTTCCTTTTATAATATATTAAATGGAGTGGATTCCTCCTTATTCTTAACAGTACATAGTACAAATAGACGGATTCTAGCTTTAACCATCGGAAACTTGCTTTTATTTGCAAGTAAAATCTGAACCCATTAGCTCCATCACAACACTCCCAGGTCATATCACAACACCGTATTCCTCCGCCTGCTACTTCGGCACTATCTATCACAGTAAATGTTTTTTTAAGCATTTTTATTAATCCGACCCCATGTGCTAACATGGGGTGGTATAACATCTGTGGAAATACAGACAATGAAAGCATCATTCAGATGTTCTTCCTGCTGAAGCTCTTGCTCTTTGACAGGACCAGGTTTGGTGGCTGCTGCGGCTCCACGTTTCCAAGCCCAGCAGAGTTTTGGACTTTGGTCTACTAACAGGAGAAGAAGGTAATATGTTTGTTGGTCTTCGTTTAAGCTACCAGCACAGATTATCCATAATATTAGATGTTTCCGATGATAAAACCGGCCGGTGGAGTTGGCATAATATTACCCATTGTATCTATAGGTGGAATAGGTTCTTTATTACAGTGTAGTATTCGTTCAGATTTAAATTCTCCTGGCCTGCTCTAGAAGCTCATTTTGTTTTCTAGATCCTTGGATTTTGCTGTCAGTTAAATACATGTTATTTAAACCTCTCTAATGTGACCCCCCTCTGTACCACAGGGTTTTTTCTCTTGACTCAAGAATGCTTCTTTGGCAAAAGTTGACTGATGGCTGAAAACAGAACATCTCTGCTTTACACAACGGGAACCAGCAGACCAACAATCCCAATGAAACTTCCTGTTGCTCTTATTCTGCTGCTGCAGCTGTGTCTTGTTCCTTCATTAACATGGGGAGTCTATGAAGCTGATGTTCAACGTTTTATTAGGGACATGCTACATTGTATCGAACTAATACAAAGGGTATGAACAGCTGACATAAATAGCCAGGATAGACTGTACAGAGAACTTGCTGATCATACTCAGACTGTCTTCTATCCTGTCAGTGTCACAGTTTAATGAACCAAGATACCATGCATATAAAGCAATGTTTGAAGACTTGTATAGATATTTTCAATCAATTTTAGAAGAATATGATGCTATGTCAAAATCTCATGACTTAACCGCTAGATGTCTGCTTCCACCAACAACGTGGACTGGTTTTCCAGGCCGTCCCAGATATGATATCACACCACTGCAAATTTCTCACTGCATTTCGATAGGAATGAACTGGCAGAAGATTGCCTCTGTCTTTGGTATTAACCGTCAAACTCTGTACAGACATAGACAAGGCTTGGGAATCCCACCCTTACAATACACTGCGCTGACAGACCAAGAATGATCTAGAATTGTGACTGAAATTCTGCAAAGGA